TCCCACTCTCACACTCCTCCTTCACGCACCGGGTACACTAAGTGCGCTCTGCGGTATGGGCTTTGGACCTCAAAAAATGACGACCCGCCTCCGACTTTCTCTCTCTCGCTCCCCCATGTCTGCAAAAGCTAAAGGCGCAGCCCTGCAATTACCTTGCTCACGCCACTGCTGGCGGAAGGGGCCTCCTCCACTGTATGGGGGTGGTCGAGAGAGCCTTCTCTCGTCTAGTCGAGGACACTTTGGCCAAACTCTGCCACGTGTGCCAGACGCCTCTGAATATTGTGGGGGTACCCACACTTTACCCCACCGCCGTTGTGCTGTGCACACGATCACGCCTGTTGGCTGACTCGGAGGGAGGTGGGCGTGATGGCTGCGCGACTGGTAGACGTCGCAGCCGTAGCGAGGGGTAGACTGGACGTGGTGTGCCGGGTGATGCCTGGATGGGGGTCACCCATCCAAGCGATCGCTGAGAGGTTTCAAATTCCTGCGCGGCTGCATGCAGGCCGGATGATTTGGGTCATGAGGTCATTTAATTACAGAATTTGTGAATGAGGGGGGGCAGGGGTTGGTGGGGAGACGGGGGAGGGGGACGATCAGACCAGACCTCGAGGTGGGTGGGGTCACTGCTGGTTGTTGTTGCTGCTGCTGCTGTTGTTGCAGTTATCGGCGTGAGATGTGCAACACGAATGAAGTGATGGAGCGGTGATGTTTACATTCAAGGGCGGTGCCAGCCTAAGTGCCTGCCGGGTCGTGTAGTGTCTGTGGCTTGCAAAGCGTGGTTGCGCAATGTACGATCGTGCTATTGTGTGTGTGCGCGTGGGAGTGCTGAGAGTGCACACGTACACACAGACAAAGATCCCCCGTGTAGACTTAACAGACTGTTGGGGCAAGTGCTTGTTCGCAAGCACCTGTGAAGGCCGGAACGGAGTACGAGGGTGCGGCTGGACAACACCATGCCCGAACGCCTTTGTCTCCCTCGTGACAGTGGGTTTTTTTTACACATCGCACCAGGTACTCGTTTGAGGCTGAGGCGACCTAGACGAGGACCAGAACTGGTTCAGATCGAACTCGGGTGGGCGGGTTCGTAGCGCAGGGCGCTTGCTAACCGCTACTGCTCCCCCTACATACCAGACACAAGCCAACACACACACACAGGCTTACGTAACAACACACAGCACACGTGCACAACGTGAGAGTGTCAATATACACACAATACACACACACCATACACAACGTGAGAGTGTCAATATACACACACAATACACACACCATACACAACGTGAGAGTGTCAATATACACACAATACACACACACCATACACAACGTGAGAGTGTCAATATACACACACAATACACACACCATACACAACGTGAGTGTCAATATACACACACCATACACAACGTTAGAGTGTCAATATACACACAATAGACACACACCATACACAACGTGAGTGTCAATATACACACAATACACACACCATACACAACGTGAGTGTCAATATACACACAATACACACACACCATACACAACGTGAGAGTGTCAATATACACACACAATACACAACGTGAGTGTCAATATACACACAATACACACACACCATGCACAACGTGAGAGTGTCAATATACACACACCATACACAACGTGAGTGTCAATATACACACAATACACATATCATACACAACGTGAGTGTCAATATATACACACACCATACACAACGTGAGAGTGTCAATATACACACACAATACACACCATACACAACGTGAGAGTGTCAATATACACACAATACACACACGCGCGCAACAGCGTCAAAAATACACAAACACATACCAACACACACACGCAATTCCAAATGCACACCCAGCACTAAACTAAATCGGTCCACGCAAGCTCACCGAAGCACGCAAAGCCCACGCCTCTCTGGCGAACGCACACGCAGGGATCACGCCCGACAAAGACAAAGATCCCCCGCGTAGCCTCCGACGGACTGTCGGGGCAAGTGCCGTTAGCGCGCAGCACCCTGCCAAACCCGGCGCGCGTGCACGCGAGGGGCTTCGTTCACTTACACAGCGCAACCAGGCGGTCATTTGAGGCTGAGTCGACCTAGAGGAGGCAAACAGGACCGGTTAATATATAATCGTCACTGGTGTTGGTGGCCGAACTCGGGTGGTCGGGTTCGTAGCTCGTGCCAGGCTAGGTGCACCTTGTGGCCACGTGAAGCGTCGAAGGTTCAATGCTGGCAGGAGGTCACGGAACAGACCCGGGTGCCATGGGTTGACTGACTGAGATGACTGGCAGATGCACCAATTGTGCCCCCTAGTGTGCCAACTCTCCGCGTTGTAGCCGCCCGGTGCTCCGCTCGTTGTTGTGAGCGTCGCTCCTCCGCCCTCCGTTGTTGTTGGAGGGCGACTGCCTCCAAACTGCTCAGCAGCAGCGTCCTTCACGAGCCTCCTCCACAGAGGCCGATCTTGACACCGCTGGTACCGGTCATCGTGAAAGTCCACTCAGCTCCACGTCCTCCTTCACCTGCATCAGCCCCTAATGTTCTCTGGCCCGTGCCGCGCCCGTGTAGACCCCTCCTATCCGGCCGAACAGAATTTGCTTGTGCGGCAATGCGATGGCTGGGCATGCGGGCTGCATGGCCCGGCCAACGCAGCCTCCTCGCATGCATGCCGGAGCGTGCCACTGATGGGAACGCGTCTCATCGTTGAGTTGGCGATGCTTCTGTGAGATCCTCGCTAAATCCAGCCTGGTTGAACACGCTGCACGCACTTACACAATTGATACATACGTACCGAATACATACACCCCACATGCACACACACACACACACGTGTCTGTCAGGCTGTGTGTTTGTCTGTGAGGCTGTTTGTCTGTGAGGCTGTGTGTTTGTCTGTGAGGCTGTGTTTGTCTGTGAGGCTGTGTGTTTGTCTTTGAGGCTATGTTTGTCTGTGAGGCTGTGTTTGTCTGTGAGGCTGTGTGTTTGTCTGTCAGGCTGTGTTTGTCTTTGAGGCTGTGTATTTGTCTGTGAGGCTGTGTGTTTGTCTGTCAGGCTGTGTTTGTCTGTGAGGCTGTGTGTTTGTCAGGCTGTGTTTGTCTGTGAGGGGAGCGATAGTGTAGCGGTTAGCGCGCTGCGCTATGAACCTGGCGACCCGGGTTCGATTCCCGCTCACGGCCAACACCAGTGACGATTATCTGAACCGGTCCCGGGCCTCCCCTAGGTCGACTCAGCCTCAAATGAGTACCTGGTGTGGTGTGTAAACATTGCCACTAGGGAGACAAAGGCGGTCGGGCGTGGTGCTGGCCACCCACCCTCTCGTGTACCGTTCCGGCCGTCATAGGTACTCGCTAACAGCACTTGCCCCTACAGCCTGTTAAGGCTATATGGGGGATCTTTGTCTTGTCTGTGAGGCTGTGTGTTTGTCTGTCAGGCTGTGTTTGTCTGTTGAACTTCTTTCGCACCGTACGTAGGCAAACCTCACACTCAACACACCCGATACAACAGCACATCGAAGGCCTCTCTCCCTCTCTCCCTCCTCACCCAAACCACACACGTGGCACTCCCACGACCGCAGCCACTGGGGTACTCACTGCGCGTTCCGGGACTCTGGGGTGACAAGTTTCCTCCTGTGGGAGACCTGCCAGTACCCGCGTGTGTGTTTGTCTGTCAGGCTGTGTGTGTGTCTGTGTGTCTGTCAGGCTGTGTGTTTGTCTGTGAGGCTGTGTGTTTGTCTGTGAGGCTGTGAGGCTGTCAGGCTGTGTGTTTGTCTGTGAGGCTGTTTGTCAGGATGTGTGTCTATCAGGCTGTGTGTTTGTCTGTGAGACCTCCTCGCGTGCCGCGTCGGCCTTCATAGGTGCTCGCTAACAGCACTTACCCCAACAGCCCGTTAAGGCTACACGGGGCGTTTTTGTTATTGTGTTTGTTGTGCTGTCGGGCAGTCAGTCCGTCAGCCGGTCTGTGAGGCTACTATCGTCAGGCCACGTCGCTGTCTGTCGGGCTGCCTCATCAGGCAGACAAGTCTGCCCTGATTTGCGATGCCAGTCGCCCCGCGTGAGGGGGGGGGGGGGGCAGTGCCGGATGAAGCTAGTGCGGGGCCTGCAGCATGTTGTTATAAAGGGGCCCTACATTAAAAAAACCCGTAAACATTAAAACACAAATGTTTAACTTGCACAGTGAAATAGTTGTAGTTTTTATTTATTTGCTCTACAGACAGATAATACGACAAATCGCTAACCTTAAATACCCGGTCGTTTGTAAAAGTTGAAGGGCAGTATAGTACTATAGTAATAGAGCAAGTGCAGAATCACTGAGCCGGAATTGATAGCTTGAAAGCGTTTAGCGTTGGGGGCCTTGAAAGTGCGGGGCCCGTAGCTGCATTTGTAGCGACTTTTGCTGCTGGGATAATCCGTCACTGGGTGGGGGAGACATCGAGAGAGACACTGGGAGTCACGGGGGGGGGGGGGGGGGCGACATGGGGAGCCCGCGATGTCTCCCCACAGCAATTTCACGCGACGTTCCTCGCCACTTCTTCCCCTGTGGCGGGGGGGGGGGACTTGTTGTTGTTGTTGAACATCACACGAGAGGCGAGGGTGGCACTGGGTGGAGTGAGAAAGGGAGGAGACGGGGGAGAGAGGGAGGGAGCAGTGGGAAGTTAAATCATAGAAGGATGTGTGAGTTGGAGTGATGGAGAGATTCGACGGATACGAGCAATGGACGCGGGGGGGGAGGGGGGGTTGGACAGTCAATGTTAAACTCACTTTTAATAAATGTTGGAGGGAGCAATGGGAGGGAGGGATGGGAGCGAGGGAGGGATGGAGGGAGAGATGGGAGCGAGGGAGGGATGGAGGAGGGAGAGTTGAAGGGATGAAGTGAAGGGAGAGCAGGAGACGAGGAGAAGGGATGATTTATGGGGTGAGGGAAGGAGGCGGTGTTGTTGTGGCTGCTAGCACCTCCCCCAGGAGCATCATCATCAGCAGCGGCAGCTGTAGCAACAACAACAGTAGCAGCAGTACAGCAGCAGAAGCGCGTGGCTCCTCCTTGCCGATGCTCAGCTCCGCTCGGCGCTCATTGGCCGAGCCGCCGGGAGCTGATCGCCTCTATATCCGAGGCACTCGAATCCCCGCCTCGCACTCTCGCGGCCGCAGCCCGGCGTGAGAGCCACGATTTTCAGAGGCTTTTGGAGTTCATTCATTCGCTCATCGAGAGCTGCAGCGTTTTTTTTAAGTGGAGCAGCTTTTCGGCGAGACGGCTTCCGATTTTGTTGCTGTGGAGTCCTGAGATCATCAGCGTGAGATCTTGAGATCATCAACGTGAGATCTTGAGATCATCAGCGTGAGATCTGGAGATCATCACCGTGAGATCACATCCTCCGCCGGCAGGTTGCCACAGACAAGACAGCATGACCCACAGATTCCCTTTGATCATTGTCAACAACAACAACAACATCGGCCGCATCATCAACAACAACAGCAGCAGCAGCAGGAGAATTTCGCTCTGGGGAGAAGCACCACGAAGGAGCGGAGAGATGTCTCTGAGGTCGCTGGAGACTTCCCTCTCCTCGCGACGGCTGCGTAACAACAACAGCAGCGGCAGCAGCAGCGGCGACAGCAGCAGCAGCAAGGAAGACGATAACGGCAACGCCAACACCGACCAGCAGTGGAGAAGCAACGCCGTCGGGGCACCCACCGCGCTCCGGTTCCGATCCGAAAATGTCCTCATCAACTCCATCATCAACAACAGCAACAGGGCCACTGCGGCCGAGGGGACTCGGAGGCGATCGCCCGCGGTGGGAGTCTGCCCCGAACCCGTCGACGGGGACCACGCGGTCCCCTCGCCGACCCCCTCGCCGTCCCCCGAGCCGATGCTGTGGTCCCCGTTCTCGCCCGAGGCGTGCCCGTCTCGCCGCTCGCTGCAGCCCGCGACGCCTCCCGATTGGCCGCCGAGCGGCTGGAGTCCTCCCAAGACGCCGCGGGAGGAGCGCGTCGCGGGCCCCGTCTGGGTGTCCAGAGCGCGACCGGGAGCCGCACCCGGCCCCGGCGGCCCAGGCGGCCCAGGCGGCCCCGGCGGCCCAGGCGGCCCCGGCGGCCCAGGCGGCCCCGGCGGCCCAGGCCTCATCGTCGTCCCATCGCCCCCGGGGTCTCCACGCGCGTCCGCCTCGCCTCGCAAGAGCCCCCCCGCGGGCAACGCGAATGCGGTGGACAGGACCACGGACAGGACCATGGACAGGACCATGCTGTCCATGCTGCTGCTCTTCCACAAGTGAGTAGCGCGGGGGGGCTGTCGCCCTCTTGCATTGTTGGGGGGGGGGGGCGGGGGGACTTGGAATTGGAGGGGGGGGGGGAGTTGGAGGGGGGTTACTTAGGGAGGGTTATTTGGAGTGTGGGGGGGGGGTGATGTTGGGTGGTGGTGCAGCCCCCCCCCATCCCTGCAGCCCTCGAGTGGTGCCGCCTGCCCTGCCGTGACCTCCCGTTACCCTTGGCGGTGGTCGGCCCGGGTCGCGGTGTCCAACTCAGCCTGGCGTGTTTGACGGACGTCTTCAGAGTCCCGGGCAGCAACCAAACACACTAAATAAATAAGAACCTAACGTGGCGTTTGTCAATATTATTCTCGGTTGAACTGCGACTCGGCGGACGGAGGTGGCTGTGCGCCGCACGCGCCTGATGATTGCTGAAACGCGCCAGGGAGCCGTGACGCACGGGAAGTTGTGGGTACCACGTGTGTGTATCCGTGTGTACCGTGTGTGTGTACCACGTGTGTGTGTGTGTGTACCACGTGTGTGTATCCGTGTGTACCGCGTGTGTGTGTACCGCGTGTGCGTGCACCGTGTGTGTACTGTGTGTGTGTGTACTACACCTCCGATTAGCACGGTTGACTACGTACGGTGCGAAAGAAGTTCAGCATCCATACAAGTGTATATGTGGGGAGCGGTGGCACAGTGGTTAGCGCACTTTGTTACGAACCCGATCACCCGAGTTCGATTCCCGATAACGATAAAATAAGAGTGGCGAATTTGAACCGGTCCTGGGCCTCCCCTAGATTGACTTAAATTAAATCACCCTTTGTCTCCCACTAGGGAGACTTACAGCACTTGACCCAAACGTCTGTTAAGGCTATACGGGGGATCTTTGTCTTTGTGAGTGAGGTATGTGTATTGTTTGGGGGTGCGACATCCAGGACAGGCCACTGTTCCAACCGCGTCCTTCTCTTGTCACTTTTTCATTCATTCACGGTTGTGTACGTACGGTGGGAAAGAAGTTCAACATACATCCACTGTTGAATTGGTCCTATCTGGACGCACGCCAAATGAGATAGGACAGCTACCCAGACACGTCACGCGTATCATCAGTACACACACAGCACACACGACTATCACACAGCACACACATACACACGACTATCACGACACGTGCACAGCACACCAGATGCGCATTGCACACATCCATGTAAGCACACAAGCACATACATTGTACATCACACACTATACACACAGCACACACACACACGCATACATACACAAAGACAAAGATCCCCCATTTAGACTTAACAGACTATAGGGGCAAGTGCTGTTAGCGAGCACCTATGAAGGCTGGAACGGCACACGAGGGGGTGGTTGGCCAGCACCACGCTCGGCCGCCTTTGTCTCCCTAGTGGCGATGTTTTTACACATCGCATCAGGTACTCCAACTGCCCAGTAGCGGCGTCCATCACGAGCCTCCTCCACAGAGACACACAATCACATTCTCACATTCCCACAAAAACACACACACACAAACACGGTTACCACCATCTCACAGACAGACACATGCACATATCCCTGACACACAACAGCTGATCGCCCCCCCCCCCCCACACAGAGACTCACACCTCGCGCGTGCCAAGCCACAGACTCGAGCTCGCGTGACAAGCAACTCAGACGCAGACGTGAACTTGGCAGATTCCTCCGATTATTTTGGCATCGCAGCCGCCCCACGTTATATAATGTGGGGGTTCGTCCGCGGGGACACTGCTGTGCACGCATCTTCAGGACACGCACACACAACACAGAGCCACAATAAAAACACACAGCTAGTGCACGCACACACAACACAGAGACACAATAAAAACACACAGCTAGTGCACGCACAACACGTAACACAGAGACACAATAAAACACACAGCTAGTGCACGCACACACAACACAGAAACACAATAAAACACACAGCTAGTGCACGCACAACACAGAGACACAATAAAACACACAACTAGTGCACGCACAACACAGAGACACAGTAAAACACACAGCTAGTGCACGCACACACAACACAGAGACAATAAAAACACACAGCTAGTGCACGCACAACACAGAGACACAATAAAACACACAACTAGTGCACGCACAACACAGAAACACAATAAACACACAACTAGTGCACACACAACACAGAGACACAATAAAAACACAGCTAGTGCACGCACAACACAGAGACACAATAAAACACACAGCTAGTGCACGCACAACACAGAGACACAATAAAACACACTAGTGCACACACAACACAGAGACACAATAAAACACACAGCTAGTGCACGCACACACAACACAGAGACACAATAAACACACAACTAGTGCACACACAACACAGAGACACAATCAAACACACAGCTAGTGCACGCACAACACAGAGACACAATAAAACACACAACTAGTGCACGTCACACAGCATATACATCATCATAACACTTATCACACACACACACATCACAAACATCACAGATCTAGAGCACGCACACACAGACACCTCACACACACACCTCACACACACACACCTCACACACACACCACACACACCATACACACACACCACACACACCATACACACACCTCACAAACACACACACACCACACACACACCTCACACACCTCACACACACACACCTCACACACACACCTCACACACACACACCACACACACACACCATACACACCACACCACACACACACCATACACACACACCTCACACACACACACACCATACACACACACACCTCACACACACCTCACACACACACCTCACACACACCTCACACACACACACACCTCACACACCACACACACACACCACACACACACCACACACACACACCTCACACACACCTCGCACACACACCACACACACACACCTCACACACACCTCACACACACCTCATATACACCACACACACACACCACACACACACACACCTCACATACACACACCTCACACACACCTCACACACACACCTCACACACACCTCACACACCACACACACCTCACACACCACACACACACACACCACACACACACACCACACACACACACCTCACACACACCATACACACACACCATACACACACACAGCTCACACACACCTCACACACACACCTCACACACACCTCACACACACACACCTCACACAACCTCACACACACCACACACACCACACACACACACCACACACACACACACCACACACACACACCACACACACACACCACACACACACACACCACACATACACCTCACACACACCTCACACACCACACACACAGCACACACACACACCTTACTCACGCATCTCTCTCATTCCGCGCAGTCGGGGCGTGTCGGCCGTGGCACGATTTCCTCCTGCCACAGTTACATAAGCGACCGCCGCCACCACCACAGACGGAGCTCACGCAGCACGACCCTCACCACACCTCGACCCTCACCACACCCCACCACGCCTCACCACACCCCAACACGCCTCACAGGCCACCTCACCACACCCCACCACACCCCACCACGCCTCACCACACCCCAACACGCCTCACAGGCCACCTCACCACACCGCACCCCACCACGCCCCACCACTCCTCACCCCTACTCATCTCTCGACATCCTGGTCTCTGCTGGCCAGCTGTTCCATTTTTCGCCTCATAGCAGGAGCCCAATTCCTAACCCTGAGCTGTAACCTCTAGCCATGAGTCCCAGCCATGATTCTTAGCTCAGCCCTTTAGCCACTGGCTCTAGCGCAGAGCCACAGCTCACATCATAGCCACGAGCACTAACTTTCAGTTTAGCCATCGGCACTAGTTCGTATCTGCTAGCCATAACTCTCATCCTAGCCACTAGCACGAACCCGAAGTCTAGCCGCTAGCTCTTAGCTGTTAGTCATAACTCTCATCCTAGCTGCTAGCACTAACCCTATGTCTAGCCATAGTCACTTGCCATAGCTCCTAACCGCTAGCCATGATTCTCATCTTAGCTGCTAGCACTAACCCTATTTCTAACCATTAGCCACTTGCCATAGCTCCTAACCGCTAGCCATAACTCTCATCCTAGCTGCTAGCACTAACCCTATGTCTAACCATAGCCACTTGCCAATTCTCTTAGCTGCTAGCCATAACTCTCATCCTAGCTGCTAGCACTAACCCTATGTCTAACCATAGTCACTTGCCATTGCTCCTAGCCGCTAGCCATAACTCTCATCCTAGCTGCTAGCACTAACCCTATGTCTAGCCATATCCACTTGCCATAGCTCCTAGCCGCTAGCCATAACTCTCATCCTAGCTGCTAGCACTAACCCTATGTCTAACCATAGACACTTGCCATAGCTCCTAGCCGCTAGCCATAACTCTCATCCTAGCTGCTAGCACTAACCCTATGTCTAGCCATATCCACTTGCCATAGCTCCTAACCGCTAGCCATAACTCCTAACCGCTAGCCATAACTCTCATCCTAGCTGCTAGCACTAACCCTATGTCTAACCATAGACACTTGCCATAGCTCCTAGCCGCTAGCCATAACTCTCATCCTAGCTGCTAGCACTAACACTATGTCTAGCCATTTCCACTTGCCATAGCTCCTAGCCGCTAGCCATAACTCTCATCCTAGCTGCTAGCACTAACCCTATGTCTAACCATAGACACTTGCCATAGCTCCTAGCCACTAGCCATGATTCTCATCCTAGCTGCTAGCACTAACCCTATGTCTAGCCATTAGCCACTTGCCATAGCTCCTAGCCACTAGCCATGATTCTCATCCTAGCTGCTAGCACTAACCCTATGTCTAACCATAGCCACTTGCCATAGCTCCTAGCCGCTAGCCATGATTCTCATCCTAGCTGCTAGCACTAACCCTATGTCTAACCGTAGACACTTGCCATAGCTCCTAGCTGCTAGCCATGATTCTCATCCTAGCTGCTAGCACTAACCCTATGTCTAGCCATAGCCACTTGCCATAGCTCCTAGCCGCTAGCC